TTTGTGTGTGTGTAAATTCACGTCAATAAAAAACACTTTAAACTCGTCTTTATTGTTTTGACTTTATATGTGTTTAGAAATTGAGGTAAGTTTTTTTTTTTTAGATTTAAAGTTAATATAATAAGACACAGATATATTGTGTAATGAGAAATCATAAAAATAGAAGAAAATTAATACAAAAATCGAGATAAAACAGATACTGACTTTCTTTTTAAGATTTTAAGAAATACATTAAATATAATTATATAATCAATTATATGATTGATATAATCAATTATGCGTAATTAAAACTAATTTTTATTAATAATCATATTTTGTAACAAATAGCTAGAAGAATTATTAAAATAATAAATTAATAAAATCAATTAATTTAAAATTTAATATTCAGTAAATAATTCATTTCATATATCATTATTTTAAATATAACTCTTTTATAAACAATTAATTTTGTTTAATTTATATTTTCAAAAAAAATCATTAAATTCTTTTTAATACTTTACTTTATAAAATATTTTCTAAATATGTTATGATATAATCATTTTTTTCAATTAATCTATTACATGTATTACAAACTTTCTGCTTAAATCTACTAATTTTTTTCTTAATCCAAATAAACTTTCCAATCTCTTTGCCTTCTTTTTCTTTCCAACCTCACCTAGTCCAAACTACGAAGATCATCTAAACTTTTATCCTTTGTCTTAGTTAATGATAAGAAAAATTGAAAATCTAAACTATTTTGTAAAAAAAAAAACGATTTTTTAGGAATTTGTGTCATGCAGCTCAAAAGTATTTGTAATAAACTGCATTGAAAATATGATATAAAATAAGGTAAAAAAAATTACCAAAAGAATGATGGAATAGTTTTGTGAGGAACAGCAAAATGCTCAGATATGCAGTGAAGATTTAGCCTAATGGTGGCGTACGAGTTACGTTGGACACCACTTACCCAGTTTATAAAGAGAAAGAAAAAAAAACCTCTCGAAAAAGGATAACTTTACAAATATAAAATATTCATATACCTGTTAAAAGCCTACGGTAGTAGTTTTTCTATTTTTTGTTATAGTTTTATTATATAACATGATTTAAATATTATTTCGGTGCGAGGTCGAGTCACTAACACTTACACAAATTTTCTTGTGATATGGTATGGTATTCACTTCTCTAGTCCTTCTCTTTGATTCACCCTTCAGAGATGTACCGTTCAAAGGTTATCCGATGCTTAAATCATAGTTAACTGTCCGTACAATAGTTCATGCAATAATAATAAATGCACAGTAAATTCGGTCACCTACATCTTACCTTTGACCTATATTTATAATTTTAGATATGACCTTAAGATTAGTAAAACCTAAATTACGGTCCAATCTCAGCCCAATACCTCTAATCATAATCTATGTTAATCTTTGTAGGAAAACTTGTTGATTGACTAAGGCCGGACGTTTATGTTCTTGGACGTCCGGTCTAACCTACTGGTTCTGCCACGTTCAATCATTTAGCTGTTTTTTCTCTCTAGAGCTGTCTGACTAGCTTGATGTAAGGTAACTAGATGGTCGTCCGTTACAAATATTATAAACGAAAATTTCATTTCAACGTAAGTGATTAAGAAGAATGTTTAATTTAATTTTGTATGTTTTATATATATTAACTATACACAATAATACACATTATTAAATTTAGTGTTTCCGCTTTAAGAAAATGAAAGGTGAAATTATAAAGAATGGCACCACTCACCAATTTAGATTTTCTTTTTATTTCGTATTTTTTTCTATAAATATCCAACTTTTGCATATAACTCAAAATTAGACAACGAAATATGAATGAATATTCCAGTTTAATTGATTCACCCTTTTATGTTGTATTAAATCGATTTTTATGTGGTTAACACTTAACATAAGAATATCACTTTTAACTTTTTTTTAGAATATTAATATATCTAAATTACTTAAGTATTTAAGTGTATAGAAGGATCTGACCCAAGGAATCGTACCACTTGGACATTATTCCCTTCACTTTCCTTTTTTTAAGACTTTATATATATAGCATAGAACAAATATTTACACGCGATGTTAGATTACTCATTTTTGATACGTAAAAGGTTTTACTTTAGATAATATCATAATAAAATCTTAATATTCTGATTAGGTTGACACATTGAAATTTCATTAATCACGTAATACTAGAGTTAAAAATACATTAATAAAGGTCAAGAGAGAAAATATATTTGAACTAAATATATTGATGTGTTCAAAATTGTGGTGGAAGGAAAACATTTTTAAAGTATCTCAACAATTCTAATTAATGTGAACAACCTGAGACTTCCCGAATATATAAAGAATACAAGCCTGTGCTTGAAGGTGAGCTTACAATCTGCACCATCTAAACAAATTGTTAGAATTTAATTCAACAATTTTTAATTTCAAGTTAGGTTAATATATTTCTTATTTTAACATATGTTTTATACATCATTTCTATTCTTTCTTTTTTCTGGGACTCTTATTACACGGACACTTCAACAATATATACATTATATATTTTAATTGTTTTCTCTTATTAAGGATATCCCATCACTTATCATATATTTTTAACTTTTTTAACATTAACCATTCTTTCTCTTTTTTATTTTTTTTCTCCCTCTTCCATGTATCTATAATGCTTTCCTTAACATTTTTTAAAAAGAATTAGATATAAGTTAGAAATATATATTTTCAAACACCTAAACTTTTTACATTCATTTCACATTATATATCCTTTGTTACTCTTTTTTTTCTTAAAAAAAATAAAAAATTTACACTTTTATAATTATTTTACTCTTATATTCTGTGTTAAATAAATGTAAGAATGTATCATGATACCATTATTAAATTAAGACACGGACGAAAAACATCTTGTGAGGAAAATTTCCACGAATCCTTCAATTTTACACATGATCGTTTCTGATCCATCATGCATGACTAAAAAATCAGAAAGTCACCCAAAACCCGAGTCATCATATATTACCAGCTATTATAAATGTGTTAAATATATAAATATATACGTAATAAATTTGAACACACAACAAAACTAACACTAATTAATTATAATTACGTGATAGAAGATACCAAAGTGAACAAAAAAACTTCTCAGAAGGGAAACATATTATCAAATTACGATGAAAAATATATAGAAATGCAAGCAATGTGAATATTTAGCAGTGGAATATAGAAAAGTGAAATTTCATTGCACAGATGACTAAATATACAGCAGAACACCTACGTATACATAAAGGTGAAATAATTAACAATCAGAACATATGTATATAACAATAAACTGACCAACAGAGTGGAAACACAAGTTAATGTCACAATCAAATGGGCACAGTCCAAAACGAAAGACGCAAACACCTAACTGAACGAAACACTGAGACTTCAACAGTAGCAGGGTACCCTGCTCGAAGGCCTTGCAGGGTTGTGATTGCTGACTATGTGTGTGTGTGTGTGTGTATATATATATATATATATATATATATGTTGTGTTGTCCCTGTCTTTCTCCCTAGCTACCCTACATGTCCCTAACTTCAAAAGCGTTCTTGTTTTTGACGACTATGTCATACATGTGCATGGATTTGAACCTGTTGAAATCTCTAGGGAGGGAGATAAGGTGGACGGTGGAGCGTTTGTGGAACTGAAGAAGATCAGGGTCGTCGTAGTAACGCTCCCAGCCAAGCGAGTATAATTTTCTCTCCAAAACCGAGTAAGACGTGATGACCTCATTGCTTGCTAAATGAACAAGCATCTTCCTTCTTCCGCCGCGGCTTCCCTCCACCGCCTCACCTCCGGGGTTCTCCACTAACCTCACCACACCGTTCTTGAAAACCCAAACCCCAGACATTCTTAATTTCGAAACAACAATGTTGAAGTGTGTCTGTTGGGGGAGAATATGGTTGTGTGTAATGTGTATATATAGGATGAGAAAGTTTGACGATGGAATTATTTTATTTGATATATATATAGACCGGCCAACCAGACACATGAGGAAGAAAAGAATGGAGGAGATATATATAGTATAGTATAGTATATATAGAATAGAATAGAGGTGGTGTTTGGATGTGAATACAGCTAAGGTGGGACCCACTGAAGAAGAGTCTTAAGCTAAAGGTGAATTTTGGGGACAGGGTGTTTTGGGAAAGGGTGGGGGCCTAGGTTATTCATTTCATCAATTATCATAATCGGATTGAGGGAATCTTCGTTCACTTTTCCATTTGCGTAGTCTCAATATTGTAACCCCACGGACAGAGAATCCATTTAAGTGTGAGACTAACAACTAAATTTTAAGTTTAACTTAATCTCATAAACAAAACTCTTGATTTGTAAGATGAGGTTTGTCTTATTTATATATTGATCTTATTTTTAATCTGATCTTATTTTGAATCGATGATATAGAGTTAAAGAGTTGGATAACAGGGAATGAAAAATTGAAGAGAAGAAGAGTGGGGCTATTTCAATCAAATTGTGTGGGTGAAGAAAACTATAGGAGAGGAAGGGAAGGAGGCGAGTGTATAAAATGGACTTGAATGGTTATGGAATAAGTTTCTTCAAGTAGAAAGAGGATGCCCAAATAGCCTTTCAATGAACACTGTACACTTTTTCCAAAAGTGTTTATATGGTTTGTGGGGATGGATAGATATATATAGTGGGTGTGGGGGACCAGAATATGAAAGGAATTGATTTCAATTACTTCAGTCGTTGCTGCTGAAATGACATTGTTGAATTTCATTAGGACACACCACTGCAGGCTCAGGTTTTCCAACCATTTCTTTTCTGTTTTTGTTGCCTAACTATTATGCTAATATGTATATAAATATACTTTCGGTAAAAAGTTTTGCTTGCCTAACTAGTTTTGACGATGCACATAGCCACACTTCAATTTATATTACTATAATCATAAACTCAATAATAAACTTTTCTTTACCTTCAAACCCAAGTTCCCATGTTTGAATTTTAAAAATCACTTTTTAAGCTCTGTGTAAATCAACTCACGGCGTTGCAGGTAAATAATATATTTGGATATCTGTGATTATCTATGCCAACTAAACCTCTAGTCTCCTCCTAGCTACCAAATTTAGATAAAATCGATGGATTCTTAGCATCTAGATTCAAACCTACATATTCTCCCTTTGCACAAAGCTCAGTCTACCCACTTTTACTGTACTGGGACAGCAACAATTATTACTCTATTACTACATTTTTCCTACTGAAATCTTCCTTCAGGTTTTTGACAGTGCCATTAGTTTTTAATGCACAAATTGTCAGTGTTTTGGAGTTTAAAAAACCTCATCACAACGTTGTATACACAAAATCTACTAGATTTACATATTATGAAAGCATGGATGTGTTACACTGATTGTTAGCATTAGGTTTGTGTCAATCTCATTTCTAGAAAAAAGAGAAATATTCTCAGAAGAGTCTAACTTAACTTCATGGTTTACTCACATGAAACTGATAACATACACAAACTAATGAGCCAATAGCATGGTGATGGAATCCATTCTGACCCAACAAAAATCAAAGTTGAGGCATTAAAGTTGTAGTTCTTTAGGGCATGCCTTCTCATCAACCCAACACCATAGTCTTTTGACTTTGCTTCAATTTGCCACCCCTCCTTGAGCCACACGGTCCTACGATGCAGACACATACACACTACAGAGAGCAAAGTTGTAGATTTCTTTCTCATGACAAGGATTTTGCTAGGGTTTTTCTTTCTCTGTCATTTTCTCTCGAATTCCTTTGGAATCCCATTGGGCCACCGTTGACACTCTTATATCTGGTATATATCTCCCGTCAATTCATTCACTTGGTAATTTGTATTCACGGATTCAATAATATATAAAACATTCATCACAAACAACTCATAGACAGTAGTAATTAAGGTGTGATAGTAGTTCCTTCCCCGAATGCTCGGTAACTTAAAATTATTCTGGAATTTGTCTGGTATAAGATTCTTGTCTAGAAGTTTATGTTGGAGAAGTGATCGACCAAAGTACTTGTATTAAATACTCACGTAAAGAACAACGAAACTTCATTAAGGATTATGATGTAAACGGTGAGGTGGCATGCATCAAAACGATTGATTTCCACCCACAAGTGCCAGCCTGATCACACACATGATTTTGATTCCCAATATATATAATATATATCCAAAAATCTGCGATTGTTTGTTGATAAGTCAGGTTCACGTTATTACTTTTTTGGATTTTGGCCATTTGATTTTGTTTGTGATAAAGTTATTCGGAGAACATCTACAAGGAAATTATAAAAACATGATATTGGTTCTTTAATGTGGTGTGACAAAGAATCGCAAGCTCCACGATAAACGGAATGCTTCCTCCAGCACACGTATGTGTGTGTATATGCAAGAAGCTTTGATTAGCAAGAACAGAAAATCCAAAGACAAAATACGAGTCTGAGGAACAAAGATACTCCTTGGTCGTATCATCAACATCCTTCACACATGTACATTTTGTTATGTCTTTCCATATTAGCCTCTTCTTTTAAAAGACAAACTATGATCCATCAACTCACCAAAAAGGACTTCTTGTCTAGGGCTTTCTCTTCCGTAATACATTGCTTTCAACACTCGTCGGTGCCAAAGATCATCATTATACAAACTCTAAAACTTCTTATATATGCTACTGCAATTTGATTTTTTTATATTCATAGAATATATAGAAATTACCTCTTTCAAGGTGATTTTATTTTAATAATTTACTCTTTCAAATAATACATTATTATTAAGACAAATTAAACATTTTGAAAATAAATAAAAATACCAATATTTATTGAAAGTTAAAAATATCGGTAAATTTAGTGTTTTTAAAGGCTAAAATTTCAATAATCTTGGAACATAAAAGAATAGAAGAAGAAGAAGAAAAAGAAACTAAAAAAATATAAGTCTAATTAGTTTTAGTTTTCTCATTGTAAATAATGTGATGGTTGAATTAAATTTCATGTTATTACGTATGAATTATTCGTGCTTAATGATTTATTGAATCTAAATATTTTTTTTAATATGAATGATTCTTTTCAATATATTTACCCAAAACAATTCGTAAAATGAAAATAAAAATTAAAACAAAAATCATGTTATTAAAAAAGTGGTTTCAACTAAATAGATAATGTAACAAATAAATGAAAAAAATAAAGAAGGAGAACACCATTATCTTTTATGTCCCATATCATTAACGCAACATCCGTGCAATAGTCTACTTGCAAAAATTATACTAATAATCATTGTTCCATTATCCTGGTTTAAATATTCAACTATTTTACGATGAATAAATAAACATTTTTATATATTTTTTCAATCCCTTTAAAATGAAAAAATAAAATAAACTTCAATTTTCACATTCCTCCAAAATAAAAAATAAACAAACCATTAACTAGGTGAATAATAAAGACTCAATGATAATTTATAATGAATTAACAATAATTTTAATGTTTACTAGAATTCATCCTCTACACATTGTAGAGTGGAAGTTTCTATTAAACACACACTCTTACTCTTACCTTACATATATAAACGAAATACCCTCTCATAAATCAACTACAACACTATATACTCTTATAAAGAAAACCGTGGATATGGTGATACACCAATATAATCGGTTATAAGTTCAAATAATTTGGATTGAAATTAAATTAATGTTATTAACTTTTGTAAATGTAAATTTTGAATATTGGAATTTAGAAATAATTAGAATATTTTTAAATCGATTTCATATTGATTTTGAAATCAGCACTTTTTTAAAAAATTAAATGTAAAACAATTTTAAATCAAATATTCTTATTTAATACTATAATACTAAAATAATAAATAATAGATATTTAATATGAAACGTCATTATATAAAATTTAAGTGTAAAAATGAATAAACATTTTTTATGTAAATAAATATTAATTAAAAATACTATAATAATAAAATAATAAATTTTTAATATGAAACGTCGTTATATAAAATTTAAGTGAAAAAATGAATAAACATTGTTTATGTAAATAAATATTAATTAAAAACACACACCCACTTAATATATATTTTAAGTAATTCAATTTTATAATTATTAATAATATAGAGGTAATAATTACACATTTTATAAAAAAACATATTTTCAATCTTAAAAATATTATTAGAAAATAAATAATAATGAAAATTATTTTATATTTATTTTAATTTTGTCATTAAGTCCATTTATAAAATTTTATACTATTTTATTTTAAAAAAATATAAATCTGAACTTAAAATTCAATCTAATTATTTAGACTTGAAATGCAATTTGATTTTCTTTAAAGAAAAAAAAATTATGGATTTGAATCAAATTTATATTTAGATATAGTTTTAAATTAGGTTTGAATCGACTACACTTTTAAAAATTTAATTCATGTTCACTTAAATATAGCATGATGGTGACTTAAAACTAAACAAATAAATATCATTATATAAATAAATATACTTGTTTAACTTAAACTTAAAATAAATAAATAAATATATATATATATATATATATATANCTAAACAAATAAATATCATTATATAAATAAATATACTTGTTTAACTTAAACTTAAAATAAATAAATAAATATATATATATATATATATATATATATACTAATCGAATAACATCGTGTACTAACGTTTTAATGTTGAATTCAAAATTATAAGTGAATTCGACAAAAGTGTTAGATTGTTTTTATTTGATTTAGGTATTGTAAATATATATTTTTTATTAGTAAGTAAAATTGTGACATTGATAACAAAAAAAGTTACATTTGAGGTATAAAATTTGTTAAAACTTTTATACATATGATAGAATTGAATTTGAATCTATTTTGTAAAAAAATTATTTTGTTATCGCTTGAGTATTAAATTAGTCACATAAGCAATATTTACGTAACATTCATCGTTGAGATAAAGCATTATA